GGTAGAGGTGGTTTTTATTTTCTTTTCTAGATGATATTTTCCATATCAATCATACACGCTCTAAGTTCTTCAATCTGAACATATGTGCATCCATAATTAGAAAATCCAGGGTCACTTACTGAAGATTAAACACTAATAAGTATCAAACTGAACCTAAAATTACATTATCTAAATGGGGACTTCATGTAAAATCCAGTTTTCAAATTACTACGCGTAAGAGATTGCACATAACTCTCTAATCAAAAAGAAATACCTCCTTAAAAGGATCATCAAGGGTTCCTTCAAAAAGCCATGAATCAAGACCCTCAATATATGGCAAAAGACTCCCAACAAGTATATAAAGTAGCATCACATATCTATCCTCCTGAAAATGACGTATAGTTCTTATTTAAACCTTTTGATCAAATATAAATAAAAAGAGTACAACATCTCAAGCAACTGATAGATTTCAACCTCACCCCCTTGCAAGAGACAAACTTCATTAAGCTCCACATAGAGATGGTTAATAATATGAACAGCAATTTCTGCAGCCGAGATACAGTGATCAAGTTCAAAATAGTATTGTGGAATGGCCCCGTGCACTATTTGAAACAAATAGTCAGCTTCTGAGCAAAGACTGGGAGAGAGATCATCCGTTTAGGACTCACAAATTTCTTAAACAAATTGTTGGCTAATCCTATCAAATGCAGAATATTCAAACACATAAAAAAACGAAGTATGAAAAATGGGCAACAAGAATACAACAGATTTATTACTTCAGTCGATAGATTAACTACAAACATGGCCCTTCTGTTGTTGACAGCTGAAGATTCAAAACAATGTCGACCAGAATCTTATCTATACAAGTATAATTTAAGAGAATGATGAGTAAAGGAGTAACCCAGCAGCATAGTCCATCAGGTTATACCTAAAATCGCCATTTCATAACCACAATTAGACATTTTCAGAAATAGATAAAATTAGCATCTTTGTCACTTCAGACTTATAAATGTATATGCAATTATTCAAGCACCAAACACCAAATTAAATTCCTCCAAATAAGCATACAACCTTGACAAAGAACTTGACAGCTCCAATAAGGTCGGAGTAGCTTTAACATCAGAGCTATTTATCTTCACTTCTTCTTTCAAAGAAATATCCCAAATCCTCTGCTCCAAAATAATATTAAGAAAAATAAAGAGACTATAAACATTTCAAATATGAGAACAGGAATCCAAAAAAGAAGGAAAAGAGTTTATCAAACAGAAATTGCATAGTAAAAGACACCCACTCTAAGCCATGTAGAAACAGCACAAGCAAATGCTCTCAAAGTAGGCGGAGGCAATCTCTTAGATTTCTCTATTTTGTTTACAACAATCTCTACCAATTTTAAACTTGTTGCGGCATATGTAAACTGATGAAGAACACCATACAAACTTGTCTGGGAAAGATGAGTCAGGTATATTCCACTTTTAACACGAAAACAATGTCCATTATCGTCCCAATAGAACAGGGAACTCGACAGACCTTGTATCATTTGCAACACTCCTCGCATCTTAAACAACGGAAAAGAAGTAAATAAATAACATAAATCCCACTAAAAAAAAACTATTCAGTAAGAAATACAATAGTCAAAAATGATAACAAAATTATGCACCAGGTCAGGTCAATTTCACTTGTCCATAAAGAGGAGACTGGAGTTGCAAAAATGTATGCCGCCCTCGCTGAAGGAACTATGGATTCTAGTCATCCCACTTTCCAAGACTTCCATTTTTACCCGCGTCATCGATAGTTGAAGAAATTCTCAGTAAAAAATACTCACATTAACAATTTATCAAACACTTCTCGGGCAATGTATATAAACCAATATAGCAAATCTGCAAAAATGTAGCATCAAACTTGGAAGTCGATCTAGTATAACAGAAGTATTCTTTCAGATTTGTAGTGAAGAATTATCGATTACATAAAGTTTGAATTTAAAAGTTGCGGGTTTTTTTTTTTTTTTCCTGTTTAAGGGCTTGGCCCAGTACAACACCACTAAATCGGACCTTGGGCCTGGTGGCCCGTGTAGTCCAAGTCTAACACAGGTCTCGTTTATGAGGAAATTACAATATTCCCGATATTTAAAGATGTGAGTGTAAAAATCAAGTGCAAATATTTTTTAATCAGAAATCATGTATCATTTATACCCACACTACAACAAACCATACTCATTTTTTCATATCCTCAGATTTTTCACTTCTCGCCTCCCTTCGTCTCCCTCTCCCTCTCCCTCTCCCGCTCCCACTCCCTCTCCCTCTCTCAACCCTTTCTCTTCCTCAAACCTCCATCATCGTTGAAGGGCACCATCGTCGGAGACGTGAGAGTCGAGCGATGGCATAGTTGCTGTGATGCGGTGCCCTTGCAGCCGGTGTTGTGAGCAATCTGGCCGGTCGAAATCGTCACTTGTCGATTTGAGCACCGCGGAGTCAGCGCTCACAGCGACGTCATCGTGGCTATGCTGTGCGACCAGCTAGTCGACGGTGATGCAATAGTAGCTCGATGCGCAGAGGTGTGTAAAAGCCGGTTTGTTGGTGCGGTGTGAGTGGAAGCCAGTTTGTGTTGGTGGCGTGTAATTTGAGTTATATGTTTGTGGAAGTTGATTTTGTTGGTGCTATGTGGGTGTTGTGGTGTGATGCAGTGGGGTGATGTTCGTATTTTTTGCGACGACAGTGTTGGTGGTGGATTTGGAGGCAGCGATGGTGTGGTTCAGAGTCTTCAAATAGCGATGGTGGTTTTTTTTTTGTGTTTGGTGGTGGCGGTGGATCTGGTTGCGTTGATTTTGTTAATGTTGGTGTTGGCAATGGCTGGGGTGATGGTGGTTACAAGTGACGGTGGTGGCAGTGGAGTTGGTGGTGATCGGCTATTTGACCTGTGACCTTAAAATTCGACCATTTGTGACTAAAAAAAGTAATATGTGACTATCAAAATTGAAAATATGTGACCTGTGACTATAAATTTTTGGGTGGTGATGTGTTTGGTTGGCGATGGATTTGGATGGTGTCTTGTGCGATGACGGTGTCTTATTTGGTGGTGGACTCTGTACAGCGTGGATGTGGGTGCGATTATGGCGTTTGTGGTTGGCTTTCTTGGTCAGTGTTTTGTTGGAGGTTGTGGCGGTGTGGTGAAGGACACGGTAGCAGTTTTTGTTGGTGATTTGGTTTAGGCGGCGATTGCGTGGTTCAAACTTGGTTCAGGCAGCGATGGTGTGGTTCAGATAGCAATGATGGTGGGTTTGGTGGTGGAGTACTTGTGACCATGTACTGAGGTGGATCGAGATCGGTGTTTGGTGTCTGTGATCGACAATTAATCTGTGACCTTGAAATTCGATCATTTTATGAATAAAAGATAAATTGTGACCATCAAATTCAAAAATACGTGACCTGTGACCTATAATATTTTGAATTTATAACCATTTGTGACCTATAATTGTGACTTATGATCTATAATTTTTTATATCTGTGACCAATGACATAAATTGTGACCTATAAAATTGATGGATAAATTGTGATTTGTGACCACGAAATAATCTGTGACCTATCAAAGTTTTGATTCGTGACCTCGAAATAATTTGTAACCAATTAATTTGAAGATATGTGACCAAGAAATAAATCTGTCACCTATAAATGTGTACATGTGATCATTAATTGTATAATTGTAATTTTATTATATTTGATTAATAAATATTTTTAATTAATTAGATAAAAATCTGATTTTTGCATTAGTTAAACTTTAAACATGGTTTTTGAACTGTGCATAGTTAATACATGGTTTATGAAATTTTTCCCTCGTTTATTAATAGATAACTAATCCCCTTAAAAATAATAATAATAATAAATTAATTAATTAAAAAAATCATTTTTTTCTTAACTCATTTTCAACAGCACATTCTTTCAATAAAATGATTTTACACGTAAATTTAAAAAAATTTCCTACTTTTAACCACATATCCAAAATCACTATTACAAAATTCATTTTACCCAAAAATGACTCTCAAACAAGAGCTAAAACAGTTCAACTCATTTTACATCTCTACGTAAGGTTGAACAAAAAAATTATAAAATTGAAAAATCATCAATTTTAAACCATTAGTCAAGAAGAGGTACACGTTTTCGTATCCATGTTTTGTGGGATTGAGGATGAAATCTAATAGGGAATGCACTTGCAGTTAAGACAATAAAAACCATCAATTGAAAGCTGTTAGATTAGATTCATATAGACCTATCAACGTTTCGATTTTGATATGAAGAAATGATTTAGTTTGAGTTTCAATACTTTGAAATCAAACCAAATCATTTATGGAATTTAAAAAAAAAAAATCCTATTTTGTATAAAAAAAAAATAATAATAATTTTTGTTTAGAAATATGATTCATTAGCTTAGCTCCATTAAAATCCATTACTCGCAATATGATCCAAACAGCTGGGCTACTCGTGAGTAAAATGAGGCTTAAGTTGTATTAATATAGTTGAATTTTGATATTTGGATTTTTTAAAATTGAGCTTTGTTAATTGTTATGGTTAGACTTTATAATATCTATTTTTTTAAACTTGTATAATTTTAGTATATTTTAACATTTTTCGTGTTGCATTGAGGCTTTAGCTTAATATTTATGTTTTAGATTGTTTTAAAAGCGATACTTTTATGTCTTTGAGTAAATTGTGGTTTGAAATTAAATCAGATCAAACTCATGAAATGATTTGGTTTGAAAATTAAAATGATTTGATCCGAAAGTAAGGGAAAAAAATCGTCCAAATCTAATCTAGTTCATCCTACCTCCGGGTAAGATTGGGGTATGTAAGCCATTTGTTTGCACCTTTTTATGGTGCAATAGATGCTATTCATGAAAATCAAAAGAATTATATTCCAAAATTACCGATAAACACAATATTTAAAACAAACATAAACAATTCACTAAATTAAATTACAATAAATGAAAATTTCTTCTTTTTATTAATAATGAGTTTAATTCAATGCCACGCTTTTACATATCCCTCTTGTCATCGTTCTGCAGGCTCTCACCTTGCAACTCCACAGCAGATTCATCCCTTACACTTCCACCATTTCTTCCCTTGAATATGCATGCAACCAATAAATAAACCAAGAAATTAACTCCATTAATCCCTGTCAAAATCCAGTAGAAATATTCAAGTTTACTTTTGTTAAGATCATCCCTAAGCCACCCTTTTTCGTCACCACCTGTTGCAGCTTCAATAATCTTAACAATGGCGGTACTTAGCCAGCTCCCAATCCCTATTTCACTTAAGAACAATGCACTGCTAATGCTTCGTGTTCCGTCTGTCGACTCGTCGTAGAAAAATTCCAGCTGCCCTACATAGGTGAACACTTCTGCTGTCCCTATAAGAAAACACTGAGGAAACAACCAGAAAACACTCAAACTTGAAGGGTTGGAATGATTTCGACGCATTTTTTCCACGAATGCGGCTGATAACAAGGCAAATACTGATACGAATAGGCCAACTCCCATGCGTTGTAAAGAAGTAATTCCTCGAGGGTGGCCTGTTTTAGAACGGAGATATGGGACGATGAGTTTTTCATAGACGGGGACTAGAATTAGGGCGTTGATGACGCTGAAAACCGGGACTGATCCTGATGGGATTTCGAAGTGGGGGCCGAGTTTTCTGTCCATTCTGGCGGCCTGGCTTAAGAAAAATGTTGAGAGCTGCGCGAAAGAGATGGAGAGAGCAATGGTTGATACCCATATAGGTAAAATTCTAATGAAAGATTTGAATTCTTCCACTTGTGTCACAGTACATAGCCTCCAGCGGTTCTTTCTGTTGCCTTCTATGTCTCTTAAAATAGCCGCTTTATCAAGAAACCTACATTCATGGCACGATTTGTAAGCTTTAATAGTGCAATTTTTCCTATTTTTATCAACCATAGAATATGACAAACAAGAACTATAAGCATAATAATATCTTGAAGTAAAATAAGAAACTAGTTACCTGTATTGTTCAGTATGAGCAAGCTTTCGAGCACCAAAAATATCAGATTCTCTAGTGCTAACCTCATAAAGATCACCCCCATGTCCCACTTCAACTCCTTTGTAATGATTCCTCAAAGAAGCTACAATAACTTGGAAGAACCTAGTAAAAGCACTTCCTGTCGGCTCCTGGTATCGATACTTAGGATAACCAGCAGCCAATATAAGAACTGAACAAAACATTGCCACTGTTGGAATTGCAAATCCCCATGTCCATCCAAACTGAACTTGTATGTATACCAAAAGGGTTATGCCCAAAAGGGCTCCCATGTTAATGGCAAAGAAAAACCAGTTGAAAAATGCATATTTCTTTACAACTTCCTTCTCATCCGATATGTCGAACTGGTCTGCCCCGAAGCAGGAGACGCATGGCTTGATGCCGCCCGTGCCGAGGGCTATAAGAGCCAGTGCACAGTAGAGGAAAGCTGTTTGGGAAGTGGTTGCTGGGTTGCATGGTTTCTTGGTGCATTTTGGGGGGTGGAGGCTGTCTATGGATGCTGAAAGTGTCAACAGTACCATTCCCTGATACAATAAAAGCAGCTAACACTCAGAGATTTGCCTTTAGAAGATGTGACACGTTTATCTATTCAAATTTAGTCTTCAATGGACTATTCACGTGACACCAATTTCGATTTTTTTTATTTTTTTTTTCAAATTTTAGATAGGTTTTAAAAGGTTCTCAAGAAATTTGAATTAGCACCTTCAAGAAACAAATTAATTGGCATTTGAAATTTATTTCCCACAAAAATAAATTAAAAAGAAAGGTTGGTTCTTAGTTATTACCACCGAATATATGCAAGAGAAAACAATGATGGTTCGGAATCGGCCCAAGTAAGCATCAGCAAGAAAAGCTCCCAGTAATGTAAGAACATAGGCTGCTCCAATCCAATCAGTAACATGAGTGGCAGCATTTGGCAGAGTTTGATGCATTTCACGTACGAGGTAAGCCACCATGTTCACAGCTATTGCAAAGAATGCCAATCTCTCAGCCACCTCATTCACTGCCAAGAGAAATTATAATTTTTCTTCGTATTATTGTAAGTCGTCTTCCATATAAAATAATGTTAATCTAATACTAGGAACTAATGATGTCTCAAAACGTGCCGGCCGTACAGTTCCAGGCAGTCGGAATTGGCAAAAGCCTCGATGAGCAAGGCCAGGCCCAGGTCTAGGGGCTAATAGCCTGCTTCGCCTATATTCATGCGTATTAAATGGTAAATCTCATATCGAATAAAGTTGAAATAAATATACAACATTTATAAGGGTTTAAATTACTTATCTTATTAAGATTGACATCTTAAAATCAAACATAAGTCTTCATATGGTAT